TCCGGAATCATGTTCCCTACAATCACAATTACTAATAACCGAATCACAGACCATTTTTAAATTGATGAAATCAACAGCCACCCTTGAGAGACAACAGCCATTACAAGGCATAGGCATAATTATTATTATTTGTAAGAAAATAAGGCATTTATTTTGTTGTGTTACTCCTTATTTGCAAATATTAATCAGTTAGAGCAGAAGGGTGACAACATATGCAATGAGACACAAATCTTGATGATTCAAACCAATTATAGAAGTACAAGGCATGCTCAAATATTATGAACGTAGCACCTTCTTTTCATGTCCGGCACTGGCAAGCAATTTCCCATCTGTAGAAAAGTGGCAACAGACAACTTTGCTGTTGCTCGTTCGTATGCAACCGACATCATTGAATGTAAACCCTGAACAAAGCACAATAAAGCAAACTCCGCAAAATATTTGCCAATTTCAAATGTGAAAGAAATATTCACCCTTTGAAGGTTCTGGGTTGTGTTCTACAGGACTTCGTTTTAATGCAGCAAAAATATCTCTACCATCTCCATCATCATTAGAAAGAAATGACTCTACATGATCATCCAAAGAACCAACATCCGCAAAATGCTCCAAGTCATCCTGTCAAAGTAACTATAAACAAACTGGCCAGAAATAAAAAAAGGGTTCAAGTTTCCATCTTATAATTTTGGGAAACTTACATACGCAGCACACAATTCTTATGTATTTACATATCACAAACATAAACTTTCATCTATATATATATATATATAGATATATATTATAAGGAAAAGCACTATAGCTCCATACATGTTAATGTGAAAGTAGGATTACAAAATGAGTGAGCAGATCACTCAAAACAACCCATCCTATCTGTCTAACTAGATCATACAAAAAAGTGATACGTAAATACATAAGAATTGTGTATAATGCATGTAAATGCCTATTTATTTTAAGAGAAAATAAAACACTTTTCAAGGGATACCATTTGATTAGAAGATGCAGCGAGCCCAGCTGTAGCATCCGTGCCGTAAATCATTAAACCTTTTGTTAAGTTGTTAACATGCTGTATGTTTCCAGCCATTGTAACACCTTCACCTGTTGTATGCGTGGATGGTGTTGATGGTTGGGAATTAGAAGGGCCCAAAGTATTTCCTGTTCCAGTACTATTTGCTGCTCCTGATGAAGTAGTTTGTTTTCTTTTTCTGTTGTTCTATATGTCAAAAACAATTCAAGAATAACATGTGAAAATATTTTCTTATATTTAAATATCCTTATAAGCTTATTTAGATAAAGTGCACCAATGATCCTTTGCCATCAAGTAAAGCATGTGCAAACATAAATGTAACATTATGCAATATATGCAAATCAAACACACAATGTAAAGATCCATATTCAAACCTTGAGTCTTAAAAAAAACATCACAATTTAGGTTATAGTCTAATGAGTGAAAATTGTATTTCTCTTTCCCGATAAATTTGAAAACTGCACATCCAAAATGAAGCACATGTATAAAGGGACTAAGAAAATAATAATAATAAAACAACCTTTGAAAAATTAAAACTTGATCTTTTCAACGCTTACATTTGTCATTTCAAAAATTGTTAATCAAGGTTTTAAGCGGCTTAGAAAATAAAGAATAGGAACCAAACCATCTACGCCATCACTCATCAAATTTTGCATGCACTCAATAAACAGCAAAAAAATCAAAGATTTTGATGAATTTAATCCTTTGTAGTTTTGACTTGTCAGAAAATCAGCACTCGTGAGGTGGATTTTTGTTCATCAGAGACGAAATTTCTTCAAAGAAAATTTGGAAGAACAAAAATTGCTCCATCTCAGTGTACATTAAAGTAACTCATTGAAGCATAAGTAACATATTGTTTGAAAAAGCATAAATAACAAAACTTAGTAAGAAACCTGTCATGGGAAGACCTAAAATGGTAAAATTGAAGTCGAGTAAGGTATCTAGGAAGTAATCAGCCCAATAAAACTCCATCATTTATAGATCCAATGGTAAAAATTTTTTATAATAAAAAAATTAAAATGACAAATGAGACATTAGATTAACTCTGACCAGTATATTCATCAGAAAAAAAAAAGGTTAAAAACACATAGATAACAAATTACTGTATTCATGGGCATTATGTCATCCATACTTTATCTTCTTGAATATAAAACCAAAGATGGTATCCAACCACTCCTTCGTTGTTTGAATTTAAATATTAAAAAAGAGTTATCCCACAAAGCATCCTTGAAGTATCCCATAAGCCAATTATTGAGAAAGTGTTTTCTAGAAATGCAATTCACCTTCAGAAAATCTATGTTTATTAGGCAAAGAATATTTTACCTGCTGTAATTGTTGTTGCTGCTGCAGTTGTTCCTGTGGCTGGGCTGCCTTCATCTAAATTAGGAAGAACAAAGAAAAATCAAAACTAAAATCAACAGAAGGTTTTTCATCATCTTCGTCGCCATAGCTAGAAAGGTACTAAAAACAGTGAAGTAATTAATTGTTAAACCATGGTCTGAACATAAATTAAACTAAAATTTCCATATTATGCAAGAACCATCAGTTCTAAATCACACCAAAGAAACGTAAATGAATAAAACTGTAGGTAGCCTAGGCATAACCAAATTATCATGAAACTAGGCCAACATTTCACCTACACATAGAATCTCTCATACGCAGAAGAATTGGCAGAATGACTAAGTTAGAGCAAATCCATGTTCCAAAATCCTGAATAATGCATTAAGGCATGAACTAATCAAACATGCATAGAAATTACAGAAGCCTTCATATCACAGAAACAAACCTGACAGAAAGACCAACAAAAGCAATAGCTGGCATAAAACTCGTTAATGTGATTTTGCTCGGGAAGGAAATGGTTGTAAGGAAATTCTATCAAAGTTTACTACGCATTTGAAGCACTACATATCAACACCTCAAACCATACTAACTAAAGGGGCATTTGGCAAAGAAATTTATTGCTTTAAGGCAACATAGAAGAGCATGAATAAAGTAGTTCTAAAATGCATGGACCATGAAGCACCAAATACTCATCTCTATAGAGGATCTCTCAACCAATATTGCACCATGTTATGGTCCCGTCAATTTCTCCATATTACAACACAGATATCTACTTGAAAATTAAACGAAGACAAATCTATGTTTTCTGAATCTACAGGTTTTAAATAAACACGAACAAATGCAAATGTACCTTCATAATATATTCAGCCTGATCTGGTCTAACTTTCGGTGAACTTGCTTGCATAGGGGAACCTACTAAGCCATCAGTCACAGCAGGTTGACCATCTTTTCCATTCAAGTTCCCCCTCGGTAAATTTCTTAATCTCCGTGGATCCATATCTCCATAATTAGGAGTATTTCCAAGACTTCCTTGAGCCTGGGCTTGGGCCAAGTATTGTTGTTGCTGTTGTGGTGACAAAAGCTGAAATTGAGATTGCGTTGACAGATAAGGCTTCTGCATTTGTGGATTTAAACTCGGACGCATTTGATCTATTCCCTAGAAAAAAAAATTAAATGAAACAGAAAACCTGAGTAACATGTATAGTCTAATGTTCTATTCAACAGTGGAATAGTCTCATTTCAGCACAGACCAAAAAATAAAAGGTCTCTACCATGAAAAAAATAGGGGTTCAATTCAAACAAAATTGAACAAAGAGAATCTCTATACGGACTTACAGTCAAAGGCCAGCCCTTCAAAGGAAGACCACTTACACCTTGATTCAACCCTGCAAAAGTGGACCATATGGATAAAAATCATCAAGATGGAACATTTCTTTTTTCGAACACTTCTTTTTTGGGGTAATGGCTCTATCATCATTTGATTTTACAAAGAAGAAATGAACACAAAGAATCAATTCTACTTAATATATTAATTTGTTCTAGATATGCTGCTTCAAAACCTTGAATATAAGCTCAAATTCGAGATGTACATTAGATTTTAGGCCTGCTGAGTGTATCGAATAGTGTAAAAATAAATAAATAATAAATAATAAATAATAACTTTATAAAAGATAGAAAATAGTTTCCTTGGATCGGTGGGCTAGGTTGGCATAAGATCAACTAAATCCCCGTTTACATTAAATTCAAAAATAAGCCCAACCAGCATGATACCGGAGTTGACCCAAACCACGACGCAAGACGACAAATATTATTGTTAAATTTAGAACGATGATACATGGGAGACTCAAAACAAAGGAAAACAATCAAAAAAAGCAAAAGTGTAGAAATGATTGCAAACAAATGACACAACAACAAGACACAAACAATCCTAACAAGGAGGAAATCCGGGGTGATGGTGAAAGACAAACGACTACGGTGAAGGCCGGAGAGGTTTCAGGCTGCAGTAGAGGCATCGAAACACAGCTGGAGAAAGTGGAGAAGTCACCAATGGCTGAAATCCGGATTGCAGCTGACTGCGGCCTGCAGGGAAGCTGCAGGGAGGAGGTGCGGCGGCTGGAGTAAGAGGGGCAGCAGGCAGGATGGCCTAAAGGCAGCTAGAAGAGCTAAGAAGGGGCAGCAGTGGTTGCGGCCTGCATGGAAACTGCAGAGAGATCGGTGGTGGCCTACAGAGAGGCAGGGGGAGGGTTCATCAATCTGCTGATAGTTGTCGATGGTTGCTGAGGACTGCTAGAAGAGTAGAGGCGGGGCGGCGATCAGATGGTGGCTGAAGGGTTGTGGGAGCCTACTGGAAGGAGAGGGGAGGAGGTGTGGTGGCCTGCTGGTGGCTAAGAAGTGGGTTGACAACATCAGAAAAGGTGGAAGAATAGATAAATAACTCGGCAGGGTCGACTTATAGCCGGATCACCACCCGGACCCATGGAGAAGATCACCACCTTGGACGAGGGACAGCCGAAGCACTTTCTCGACGTCGTATACAACCCTCGAAGGAGAAAACACTTAGGCTAAAACCTGAATTCAGATATCAAAAGCAAGACCTCCAACTCCAAACACATTATCTCCTATTTATAAAGAGGCGACCTATTTTAGGAAACACTTAAAATATGAAGAAGAATAAAATCAGATTTCAGATTTTAGGAAAGAAATTTTGAAATAAAAAATGAGACTAAAATCAGATTTTAGGAAAGGATTTAAATTAGAAAGGGTATGGGAAGGAAAATAAGAAAAGAAGAAAAGGAAAGAAAATCAAAAGGAGAAAAATAAAGTGAGCGAAGAGGAAAGAGGGGGTGGCAACCCACCTCCCTTGAGAACCGGCCGGTCCAGCCAGCTGGACCAAGCCCAGACCGGTCCTCCCCCGAGCCCTACATCAGTTTCCCAAGGTTGGGGAGCTTCAACCTCGTTCGTTGAAGCTTCTTGTTCCTTGTCTTTAATCCTTGGAGTGCCTAGGTCTCACTATCAACTTTATTCTCTCAAAGCACTTGCGAGTGTACCTCCATCTCGGTCCAATCTCTTGGGACTGAAATTTCTCACATGGTGGTAGAGAATCAATAGTCACAAAAATCGGCCCCGCTAATCTACTAATAAGAGCTCTTGCACCCTCAGGCTCTACCGAAGGAAGTAGAATGAGACGTTTGTCATCCTTAAAGAAGGAATACGTGTTTTTGAATCCATCATAGTAAGCCTTCCAATAAAATTGCCACGGTCGTCCTAGCAGAAGGTGGAGACCAGGTCACACCCTACTTGATCCTATAGCTAACTCCCTATTGAAAACTCAACTAGGCATTGTTAGTCTATGCTGACCCTGCTTTCCTTTTTTCAGCCACGTGAGTGAGTATAGTTGGGAAAGTCTCTGAGTCAAGCGTCCAGTTTCTCTACCATCTGAGTCGATGTCACGTTCTTGCTACTACTCCCCGATAATAAAACTGCATACCTTTATGTTCACTGTGCGGCAGTTGTAGAAAATGTTATGGCGAAGCCACTGCGGATCTCTTGTGTCCTCGGCTTGCAGAATGCATTGAATCACAAGTGCTCTCCCTCATCTAGTGGAAATTAATGCTCCTCACATGTTCCTCTACTTCCTGCTCCACGAAAACCTCTTCCACAGTGCCCTGCTCGATAAAAGTTACAACTCTACTCTTCGGATAGCTAGAGGCTATATGCCCAAATCCGTGATATCTGAAGCATTTTATGGAGATCAAAATAGTAGGCTTCTTCTCACTGAGGGTAGTTTTCTCCGAATCTGAACCAATTTTCTCAACTCTCTCCGACATGCTCTTGCTGGTGTCTCTAATTGTGGATGGCTGCCTAGTTGGTGGTGGTTATTGGCTCTGCTTCTGTTGCCTTTCTACTTTCAATGCTAGTGTATGGACGTCCCCCAACGTCTAGTACGGCTGTAGCTGCACCACAATTCTAATACTAGGCTTCAAACCCCCCAAAATATTTGGCTACTGTATTCTCATCTGGCTCTGTTAGATCGCACTTCAGCTGCAAGTGGTGGTCGAACTGAGTTGTGAACTAGGCTTCAAGCCCCCAAGATATCTGGCTCTGTTAGATTGCACTTGAGCTATAAGTGGTCGAACTGAGCTGCAAACTCCTCCACTGAAAGGTCAATCTGTTGTAGATTGTGGAGTTTCAAAAACATATCTTGATGATAACGAGGGTGAAAATATTTCTTCTGCGTGGTTTTCTTCATCTTCTCCCACCCTATAATATTTTTGTTGCCTTCTCGCCTCCTCTATCATTGTACATTCTCCAACCATAGGGAGACACTTTTCTTCAATTTGATAGCAACTAATTTGACCGATACCTCTTTGTATTCGAAGATCCACTCTACTGTCTGTAGTCATTCAATAAATTCATCCAGATTCATGTCCCCCCCCCAAAACTCAGGCAAATCTACCTTGACCTCGTGGTCTGCCCTCCAAATGACATCTCATCCCGAAAAGTTTCCCTATGGGAGGGACACAGGTATCCCTCCTCCGTAGGCCTCCTCTAATATTGGATTCTAAAACGTCGTGACGTATCTTCTTCATCACTGAAATTATCCCTATGGAAGAGATTCATATCCTCTTCTCTCTCTCCCATCGACTCTTCAGGTCTCGGTCGAAGATAGCTTATTATTGTGTCATCCCTTCAATTGCAATTCCCTGTTGGAGGAGATAGAGTGCTCGCCATATCTCTTCCCGGATAAGCTCGAACATATTTCTCCTTGGCGGCATGATTGACGGTTTGGGATCTGTGGAAGGGAAAAAAAGAACGAAGGAGAAGAAAAATTAATGAAAAGATAAAAAATGAAAAGCTGAGAAAAAAATATTAAAAAAAAATTATTATGGTGGCTTGGGTAGGGCCGAATGCTAGAAATCCTAAGATGGGACTAGGTTTGGTCTAACTCTGATACCACATGATACCAGAGTTAACCCAAACCACGACAGAGACTACAGATACTATTGTTGAATTTAGAACGAGGATATAATGGTGACTCATAACAAAGAGAAATAATCAAACAGAGCAAAAGTGTAGAAAGGATTGCAACCAAACGACACAACAATAAGACAAAAAATCTTGATGAGGAGGCACTCTGGGGTGATGGAGCAAGGTAAACGACTGCGGTGAAAGTCGGAGAGGTGTCAGACCGCTATAGAGGTGTCGAACCGTAGCTAGAAGAAGCGGAGAAGTCACCGATGGTTGGAATCTGAAGTGCAGCTGACTACAACTTGCAAGGAAGCTGTAGGGAGGTGCGGCGACTGGAGAAGGAAGAGGAGCCGCGAACAGGATAGTTGAAAGACAACTTAAAGAGTTGGGAACGAGCAGCGATGGTTGCGGCCTGCAAAGAAGCTGCAGGGAGAATGGTGGCGACCTGCAGGGAGGGTTCGGCGATTTGTCGATAGATGTCAGTGGTTGTTGAGGCCTGCTCGAAGAGGAGGGTTGGCAGTCTACTGGTAGCTGAAAGGTTGCGACGGCCTGCTGGAAGGACAGAGGAGGTGCGTGGCCCGCAAGTGGCTGAGAAGCGGGTTGACAACAACATGAAGGGTAGAAGGATAGATAAATATCTCCACCACCCGGCCCGGTGGAGACGATCACCAAATCGAACGAGGAACAACTGGAGCACTTTCTCGAGGCCGGATACAACAATCGAAGGGGAAAACACCAAGGCTAAAACCTGAATTCCGATATAAAAAACAAGACCCCTAAATCCAAGCACATCAACTCCTATTTATAAAGGGATTTGACCTATTTTAGGAAACACTTAAAATAAGGAGTATGCAACCTTATTTCAGGAGGAAAAAATTTTTAAAATAAGAAAAATAAATAAAATCATATCTCAAAATTTGGGAAAGGATTTAAATTAGAGAAAGCTTGGAAGGGAGGTAAGAAAAGAAGGAAAGAAAAAGGAAATGAGGGAAAAAGAAAGAGGGGACGGTAGCGCCCCTCCCTTGACGACTGGCCGATCCAGCTAGCATGGACTAAGCCCAGGCCAGTCCTCCCCCGAGCCCTGCATCACATAATTTGAAAATTCCAAGAATTCACATCCACAATTGAATGCTCACTAAAAACTCGTATCCCGTCAAATTTCAATTAAAATTCACACTTTCGAAGTCATGTGATACCTAACGGCCAATAACTCTTACTCCCACAACACTAGCAATAGCAATTCAACTCCACCGACATTCAAAAAGGAACAAATCACAGATTACAACTATCACGCTGGAAAAACACATCAACCATGCACATGTTTTTATTTTATTTTATTTTATAAGACAAAATAAAGACCAAGTACATCTTGAATAAAGCAAACAATCACAACACAAAAATAAGTTTAAGATTACAAAGCCAATAACCACTGCACAAATATTCCACATCAATTTGAAATTTATTCACTACAATTAGAAATCACATTTATATCAAATTTGAATAAAATCAAGAACTGTAATAAGCAGACAAGAAGATATTCATGAAAAAAATAAGAAAATGAAGCAATTCGCCAATGATAAGAAAATCAAGACCTCATGCTAGTACATGGATAATTTCTCCCTAAATTAGGTAGTTGCACATTACATTGCTCAAAAAAATTACAAATCACATTATAGAATAAAAATTTTATTAAATCATATTTATAAATTATATACCTTTAACTTTATTTATAGGCCATTCACCTTTAGGTTAATAGATATGATAGAACAAGATCACCCGATTAAAATTCAAGTTAATCATAATATTCAGGTATGAATTTTAAGCGAATTTTAAAATCTATAACCCTTTTTCGAGACATCACAACTATATATGCTCCAAGCCAAGTTCAATGAACTCCCTAACACCGGAAGAAATTGTTACAAGTATGGATCACTAATGCTATAGAGAATCACTATTGGAGGTGAAACCATGAATAAAAAGGTAATTAAATCTCCTGAAAATCCACTACTATAAATATCACCAAGGATAATATCCAAGCAGGAAGTTCTCAAGATCCACTGAAACAGAAGCTCCCACAAAAAGTGGCAAGGGAAACACCTACGAGGGTGGGACCTGCCTGATAGAGTAATGAAAAGGAAAAATTACAGTTTTGGGGGTGGGTACAACCTTACATTGTTTTTTTTAAGAGATTCCCTATGTTTACTCTCCTTATCTAGGAGTATGCTTGCGCTTATACCTCATATTATTAATTTTAATTTTGAACAAATTGACTAATACCCTCAGTTTTACACACCAAATAAATGAGTGCAGGAATATGCTTAAGCTATGCCATCAAACTCATACTGTCAAGGCACATAATTAGCACTATTACAAAGAAATGAGCTTGAAAATAATAATAATAAAAAAAGTTATGGCTTTTCCTCAACTTTTTTCAGCAGCGAAATATTGGCTTCATTGCAAAAAAAGGCAATCCCAGATAAAGCGTGCTGACTACCACAGCATATTGGAAAAATATCTTATAAAAATTGTTAAACAGGATACCTACCAGGACCTGATAATCCAGATTTTGACTGTATTATACCCTGACCATATATTGATGAATGGTCCATTGGCAAAGAACGCTGAGCCGCAGCCAAGTTCCCATCACATTTAATATCCTGCCAATTGTAAGAAACAAGGTAAAATTATGGCAACAGAGATCAATGTAGCATCAAATTAAGAATGCAATAGAAGTACAAAAATTTACATTTGTCTGTTGACTTCTTGCTTGAATTTGTGGAAATGCTCCAGCATTACCTTGGACTAGCTGCCTGCCTCAATATAATAAACTTAGAATTGCAGCAGGCGGGCGAAATGCCAAAAAGCCAAGGAATGCAAAATAAAGAAAAATATATTGTATTCTTAACAAAAACATAAATCGGAACAAAAGTACCCTGGATGACCAGTCGGTGACTTAAGAAGAGCCATTCGATTAGGATCAAGGAGCTGATTGGATGTCTCAGAATCCATAGATGGAGAATGCTTTAAACGCTCTTCATACATCTTTGCAGCCAGCACACTGGCCGCCGATCCACCTGTGATTCCATCCGAGTTCAGCGCATTCACAGGGGCACTCAGAGAAGGATGACCAGAGTTATTTCTTTGTAATTGCGCTTGTCGCTGCTGCATGAACTGAAATTGCTGCATCTGCAGCTGTTGTTGCTGCTCCCTTGCTTTAAGTTGCTGAGCCTGTATGCCAGTAAATAATTGGTTTTCAAATAATGACACATAAAGTTAATATTGTCAAGATCATTACAACCATTGATGGATCATGGATTAAAGTTTACTTATCTAACACCTAAACTTCAATTTTTAGGTACATGCCACCTTACCTATGCATACCTATGCATGAAAATGTGTATGTATTTCACTTTTTAAAAGTTAAAATGGTGGCAATTTTGATGTGATATGATAGAATAGCGTGGTAAAAACTAAAGTTTATGAGTTAGATAAGTAAATACATAAGAATTGGACAATATGCTTGTAAATGCCCCTTCAAAAAAAAAAAGAAAAAACAGATTCACTTGCTTTTAGAAACCAGACCTCTATATATGCCGCCGCAACTTCTGAGTGCTTTTCATTTGTTCTGGCAATGAAGATATCCCAAAATACAGACCACCACTCAAAAAGAAACCCACCAGGCGCATCTATTGCTGTGCAAATAAAATAAGCGTTATGTGTTTGCTTAAAGAACTAGCTTAATAAATTGATAGCTTCGTGCCCAAATTTATTGACAAATAGTGAGGATAAGTATCAAAACAAATAGGCCCCAAAATAAAAAATGAGACATTTCTGTGTTTACAAAATTCAAAAGATATCTGCTTACAAACAATGAAGAAACCATAAAAATTTCTCTGCAAATTCCATAAAGAAATTATGTAACAGAATTTGATGTATTTAACCAAACTCAAGAAATAATAAAAGAAAGAAATTTAAATCCTCCGATGAACACTAAACAAAAAAAAAAACCATCTGCAACATTTCGTAGCAACTAATGAATGTGGTCTCAAGTGTTCTGACAATAGAAAAAAGCAGAAGAATATGAGATTAATATTAAGGAAATTATTATGGGGCTATTAAACATCTGAAAATTCCTCTTTTTATAACGTTCTTTTCAAGATAATATATGATGAATAACAACACCTGACTGAAATATGTTATTCAGTTCATGTAAACAAAGAAACATCCCAAAACCACTCTTTTAGCTTAAACTCAGACATTGAAATTCTATGATTTTCAAACCTCTAATAAAATTTTCTCTAACCCAACACAGATTAAAACTGAAAAACACATATCGTATAGACTTTACTTCGAGAATTCAAATTGATATAACAAGCCGTCCTCTTTCTATAACTCAAAACCATAGAAAAACATTCCCAAGTACAAAACCCTTGCATGAATATCAAAGACACAAATAAAAAATTCTATTACCTACTGGATCTGGGGCAACCTTTCCCTCCGTCATGAATGCTTTCGCAGTATTCTGCAGATTCCTCTTCAGCAGATAATCATATATATAGACATCAAGCCTGAAAAATAATCAAGAAAAATTTACGAGTGAAAATGCAATTAGAACCTAATCAAGACATTAAACAAAATCAAAACCATCCCATACACACATTTTATCCGCTTCCCAATTACTCTGCGCCATGCTTCCCTCCGATCAACAAACGAAAACCCAACTCTCACTTTGTACAAAGCATCACACTCCACGAAACAAGAAGAACAAAACAAAACAAAACAAAAAAAAACATCAGAATTACGAAATGTTGAAAAGAAAACAACCCCAAAACACAATAAGGATGTCGATCTTACTAACATCATTCGTGCATTATCTCAATCTACCAAAACAACTTAACCGCGCGAGATTGTTATGATTACCTGTCCCTAAATTCCATCCTGTCTTCGATCATTAACCACGCAATCGATAGCTCTATACACACAATTCTTCACATAAACAAACAGGATTGGATCTGTGAGATCACGAACCAAGATCCAAACCCTAGCCAAGAATTAGCTCCTCCCCTTCCAATTCGAGCTGTGTAGAGACGTACCCAATTCCTTTCCCTCGTTCTCTCTCTCTCTTACTCAAAGCTTCTAAGCACAGAGTGGATTTCGAGCTCGTAGCTTCGGATCCGCAGCCTCAGACTCGGAGAAGACGGTATGGGAGGTGGGGACCCAACCCCTGATGGCGGTTGGCTTTGATCCCAAACCGCGCGAGTTTCACGGAACAGCCCAGTAAAAATCCCCCACGCGGAATATGCCAGGTGATATCTACCTACGTAGTGGCTTATCATTGGTCTAAATAAGCGTTTCTCCTTTCCGCCTAACACGGGATTTATGACTCCTAATATGCGAGCTAACTGCGGTATGTAGACCGCGGTTGGAATATGCGGTTGGGATTCGATTCGATATAGTTTTGGACGGCTGAGATGGATCCGCCGGCTTCGAAGAAGGAACTCTGGTGATTAGTGACTGAGATTAAATCACGGCCGTTGAATTCGAGTGGGCCGAAAGACATGGTTGTCCAGGCACGTGGTCCAATCGAACAAACGGATTCATACTGTGATGTAAACTGCCGCCGGATCTGAAATAATCAATGTTTTTATGCTCTTTATATTTATTTCAAAGTGCTAATTACACAATAAAATATGAAGTGATGCGTGTTAGATGATTTGCTGCCATAGAATAAGGATCATTTTTCATATTAGTATAAAAATCAGCACACATTCAAGTAAGTCATCACGGCTTTTATATGAAAAACCCTTGAAAAAGAAAAAATCACAGGATTTGGTTAATTGAAATATATCATTATGAATATTGAGTCAACGTGTCTACTCTTCTCCTGAATTAGGGAAGATGAAATTACAAAATTGTATATTCGTAATCAAACTGCAGTTCTTGGCAACAGCAAGCAGCAAGGGTCATAGTCGATTGTTGCGGAGGTAGTAGTTTGTCTCAAGTGTTGTAAATAATGACTATAGCGCTAACTTGTCGTAGAAGCCATAGTAAATAACCATGAAAATAATTAGCTTAAGTGGGTTGTAGATGGTTGCTTCAAGAGTGTTGGTATGCAGTTGCAGGAGCTGTGGACCACATATACCGTATAGGTCATAGTAATGAGTCGCGACATCCGTGGACCACAGAAGCTGAAGTTAATAGCTACACAAGCTGTGGACTACGTAGATCGTAGTTGGTCATGTAAGACGTAGTGGTGAGTAGTAATGACATCCGTAGACTGCAAGGGGCCAGAGTCAGGAGTTGTACGAGTGTATGCAAGGTACATCATTACCCCATTTTCGAAATGCATTGTTGCACCACCTTAGAAGTGTGTTGTTGCGTCATCTTTGGGGTGCGTTGTTGTGTCGTTTTTGGGGTCAGCTCGTTGTTTAGGGTGCATCTCAGCGTTTGGGACGATGCACCGCTTCGCAAGTTGCTTCATGCTCAGTGACATCAATTATTTCTTCACATGGTGCTTCTTCGTAAGGAGTGGACAGTGGTTGTTGATGATCGACGAGTGGTGGTCGATGGTTGCAGGAATAAGAAACAACTTCAGCTCCTTCTCCAAAGTTTCAGTCTTCTTCAAGCTTCAAGCTCTCTACCCCTCATGAGAGGAGTGGGCTCTATTTATTGAGTCTTAGTTGCAATTAATGAAAAAATTTGAAACATTTCGATTGGACTGTACAGAGAGATTACCTTAATTGGACGGTGTTTGATGGACATTTGGGTGTCTTAATGATGGTGAAATTCAGTGATCTTGGGCTCATTGGATTTATATTATCGAGACACTCAATTTAACTATGTGTTTGCAAGTCCGGCATTCGTTTGACTTTCCAAATATGCCTGAAAAGTTTCTAAATGTGGTTGAATGGCTTGATCAGGGCTTGATTTGCTTCAAATTAGACTAATTTTGGTACCATTGGGTACGTTTCGTCGAGCTGGTCAATTTGACTGTTATTTTGTTAAAATCAGAGTTTTGGATGATTTTTAATCAAAAATTGAATATTTCTCACTCGAAAGATTGCCCTGATCCGCGTCATGCTTCGAGATTCATGTCGGGTGTTGAAAGTTTATTATTGACATAGCAATTATCCCTTTATTTTTGAGCGGGACCATTCTTATCATCCGAAAACATCAAAATTTGGAACACTTTATATTTTCATTGAAGCATGATTACATGGTCACTTTTGATTATTCTGTGAGATGCATGGTTCAAAATTTTTTTTTCCTAAAAGATATCATTTTTGCCCAGCCTGAATTTGCTAATGTCCTGCGGGCAGATAGAATGCCGACGGTTGCAAGAAGCAGGATTGGAAGCACCAACGGGATTGTGGAAAGGCGAATCGCGGGAAGGTGTAACTACAAGGGATTAAGGTAGATTTCAATTTTTATTTTTTAAAATTGTTTTTTTCATCGATATGAGGGATCGTTTACCCTATAAGTAGTCCAAGGATACGAGGAAGGAGATGGAGTCCTCATCATTGCCTAACAAGTGATCTAGGATTTTCCAGAAGAAGAAAGTTGCCTCTGTTCTACATAGCAGACGACCAATGAGATCTTATTTCATTTTGTGGTGAAGAAGAAATTCATCCCCATTCTTGCCCAACAGGTGACCAAGGATCTTCTTTCTTGTTTCTAAGATGAAGAAAGTTTCCCTCATCTTTGCTCAACATGTGACTAGGGATTTTCTTTTGCTTTGCTTGAGATAAAGAAAGTTTTCCTGATTCCTGCCCAACAGTCAATCAAAATACTTTTTGGTTGTCAAGATGAAGAAATTTATCCCAGTCCCTGCTTAGCAGGCGGCCCAGGATCTTCATTCTCATTGTTGAGATGATGATATTTGTTACTATACCTGCCCAGTAGAATACCCAGGATCTTCTTTCGTGATCTTCTTTTATGTTGTTGTCCCACATTTCGGGGGCGCTTCCTGTGTTTTTGTTGTACATTCTAGGGGAGATTCATGTGTTGTCATTGTGCTTCTAGGGAGAGATCCTTGTCGTACTTTAAATAGGTGACGAATAAAAGCTATACTTTTTCTATTTTGATTTTTTAGAGAGATCTTCGTGTTTCTGAGGCGGTGACATTTGGAGAATCTCGTCTCTCTAAGGATCAGTATAAATACCAAAATTTTGAGGATGTGATCCAACACCATTTAAAGATGAGCCAACCCCTTATAGCCTTTGTAACAGTCTTTAATTATCTGATGTAGCATTTGAAGATGATGATGATGTATTTTCTTGTACATCTTTGATGTTGCTTCTGAGGTTGACTTTGCAATTCCTTCTGAGTCCTACTTCAAGGGTGCATATTGATGTCGACCTAGGTTGTTGCCTTATGGGATTCTTTGGCTTCCAAAACATGTGGAAGTAAGTAATCAAAGTTATCACGTGCACTTTATATAAAAAAGAATCGCAAACTTTTTTAGGCTCGTTCCTTCATTGGTCGTGCCCTGTTAGGCTTGTATCCTCTAAGGCTTGTACCTTCTTATGCTTATGTCTTATAGAAGCTTAAAATACACTGGTGCCTTATGAGGATCGTAGGCTTCTAAGGTCTTTGATGTACATGTGTTTTCCGAGGTTTGTAGCCTTCTGAGATTTTTGAGTGGAGGTCTTGTCAATCACTTACTCTTGTAGAGTCTTTATAGTGAGGATCCTGTCCGCTACGAGCTTTCCATTACGATTTGCCTCTTGGGCTCATCTTCCAGGGGCAGGTAGCTTCTTATCGATTCTTGCCTCCTAGGCTTGACTTTCAGGGGTACCATATCTTTTCATCGAGTTTTATCTCTTGGGCTTGACTTCTGGGAGCATAGTAGTTTCTCATCGAAAGTTTCCTAATGAGCTCAACTTCCAGGGGTCTCGGATCTTCTCATTGAGTTATGCTTCTTAGGCTCGACTTCCAGGGGCATGGCAGCTTCCCCTTAAGATTTGCCTCATAGGCACAAATTTTAAGGGTATCAAATCTTTCCATCAAGTTTTGCCTATTTGGCTTGGCTTCCAGAGGCATGGTAGCTTCCCATCGAGACTTGCCTCTTGGGCTTTTTTTCTAGGAGCATCATATCTTCCCATCGAGTCTTATTTCTCGGGCTCAACTTCAAGGAGTATCGTATCTTCTCATCAAGTTTTTCCTCTTAGGCTTGACTTCTAGGGGTGTATGTGGAAACCTTGTCTACCACTACGAATGTTTAAATTTTCCCAAGCTGTTAGTCAAAGCGTGTCTATCAGACAACTATAGACTGTGTTGGAGAAAAGTTGACAGAAGAATCAATAAGGATGTAAGACCCTTCTTTGGTTGTTAGTTGGAGACACTCGACGGCTTTAACCTGTATTAAACAAAGTGATATGAAACTCATTAAGGACAATTTTCATATCCTAAGTTGTTGGTTGAGGCTTTTAATTGATGACTCTAACCTGTTATGGAAGAGATTGAAAGAAATCCACTCAAATTTTTTGATCAATTCGAGTTTTTTAGGCGCAGCTTCTGCTTGACGACTATAACATGTGATGGAAGAGGTATCAGAGATGTTCTGTGTTTCTGGAGTCCCTTTGAGATTGATTAAGCTTAGAATGAGATATCAGAGATGACCTGTGTTTTTGGAGACTAGGGTGTACGTCACAATGGATCATATGATTTATTAGAAATATAGTTGCAATTATACTCAAGAATAATATTTAACAGCTTGATAGTTATTGCTTTTAAATTTATTGTCCCCTGGTGAGTATGTTTTCTACACGATCCTGTAAAGCAACACATGTATCGAGTCTTGAAGAGACCAGCTTCCTGATTCAGTTGAAGAAGAACTTCAATGTGGTGAGGGAGTGTTGAGGAAACATTATTTGCGATGAAGATTGCCCCCCAATCTAGGAGCTGTTCTTAAAGACTTGTTATCTAAATGAAATGTGGGATGACCACCCTAAGACAATAGTGTCTGGGATGTTAAATTAAAGACCTTTTGAGACTGCAGAGATTGTTGCCCCCAGCTTGAAATAAGTTGTGAAAGACTTTGTGTCTAAATAGGATGCAAGAAAACTGCCCCACTACAATCATGCTAGGGACGTTGACATGAACGATCTTTAAAAACAACAGTGAATGTTGCTCCCCACATGAAAGAATACTTCAGAGATGATCTTCAAGATGCAAAGGCAGTTCCTTCACCAGTTGAATGATGTACAACATTGGGAAACAAAGTAGGGTCTCAACTTCTTAGAGTTGAAGACACTA